CCATCGGTAAAGGACAATGTTAAACAACAAGGTTGGATTTTATGTTAAAATACACATATAGACAGCATTATAGTGTTTTAGACGTTTATCTCAATACTTACCCAACTTCTAGATTTGAAGCTTTCGTGACTGCAAGGATTCATATTCTTAGGTTTTTTCGGTAAAGTCACGTAGGTAAATTTTTTTTTAAATTAATGAAAGTAAAATAAACATAAAAAATCACGACGTGTCGGAGGCAACACAAGCTTCCGTCTTCAGGTGGAACCGTCACAGCTGTATTACCTGAAGACGGAAGCTTGTGTTGCCTCCGAAACGTCGTGATTTTTTTTATTTTACTTTTATTAATTTTAAAAAAAATTTACCTACGTGACTTTACCGAAAAAACCTAAGAATACTTACCCAACTATGTAAATGTAGGTAATTCCATGGATGTGGCTGAAAGATGGGGAAAGATGTATTTGTCTGCAATAATGTGGCAGTGATTTGACATGTACTGTTGTAGCGGAACATGTTTGCACAAATATAATGTGTTTACACAAAACAGACTGCGTTCTCATTCACCCCCGCGCCCATATTACTTACTTGAATTTACCATTGAGAATACTGGAATAAAGGATAATATCCTGCCCTTTAACAATCCACTGCTGACGGTCTAACCAAGCTGTGTTGGTGGGGAGAGGGAACCCAGAATATCACTCGCCACTGATGTCAGCCATGGCCGGGAATCAAACTTGGGTCACTGGATTTTTAACGCAGCGCTAACCGCTGCACCACCACTCTGCCCCCATTTACAACGTATACCTGTTAACTTTACAATAAACTGTCACATCCTGTGATCCTGACTGCCGGGAAAGTCCAATACGATAAAAGAGGTAGTGACAGACACGACTAATCCTGGCCGCGCAGGGTTTTCTGCACTTTGGATGCACATGCACCGAATCTTGTGTCGATATCTTTGGTCGGGGTGTTTCCTACGGAGTAAAGTACACTTCGCGAGAGTTTATTGTAGAGCAGCTCGACCTTATAACCTTCCCACCGTGGCTAGGATTCCAGTCTATTAGAACCGTATTGTGAAAAGCATTCATGTATTATAATTGTATGTATGTTGAACTTCTTTCGCATCGTACGAAGTCAACTGTGCTAATTGGAGGCGCGGAGGTGGAAATGACTTATAAACTAGGCCATACATTGTTATCATACATTTTTTTTCTAAAAAAACAGTTTGACATGGATTAACAAACAAGTGTCTGTGTGGACAAATGAAAATAATATCAAATCAAGGCCTTGCATTTAAATGCAATACAGTACTACATACTGTAATTTGAAATCTATTTTGATCAAATGTTATATTATTGCCAAAGAAATAATGCGAATTTACCAAATAACAGTCTTCCAATATTTCAACAGGTATCTAGCTCTTAAATGCACTTGTTTCTTTAAAAGCATACATCCCATTGATGTATGGTCAGGTGAGTTGCAAGATGTCCAATGACAGCTACAAGCATTTGTGCACACCGCAGCGGTCACATGCCATTCATCAAACTGCAAACAAGGCAGGTCAAATGCATAACAACACAAATCAAGACTACATTTTTTATTTAAAGCTTTCGTGACTGTAGGGATTCATATTCTTGGTTCTTTCGGTAAAGTTACGTAGAAGGGAAATAATAAAATAATAAAAATATAAAACAAAAAAGTTTATCACGACGTTTCGACTGCAACACAAGCAATCATCATCAGGTGTGAAATCCACAGCAATAAAATTTTAAATCCACTGTAGATTTCACATCGTGAGAAACGTCGTGAGAATTTTTTGTTTTATATTTTTATTATTTTATTATTTCCCTTCTACGTGACTTTACCGAAAGAACCAAGACTAAATCAAGACTCCTCAAACAAGCGAAAGGACATACATTCAGTGTAGCATTTATAGACACGTTTTACTCGGCCAATTGTTGCATGCCAAATATAAAAGAGAATATAGTACATACATTCATCCAATACACATTCACAGCAACACAATATATATTATACTTCGCTCCCCCACCATCATCAAACCTGCACTGACAAACGTGGCAAATACCTGCATGGTCAAACAACTGGCTGTGTGCATCGTCTCGTGTCAAATATATCATGAAATGTTGATTTCGTTTCCTCTGACTGCAATTGCACAAAGCAACTCACCACATACCGTACACACGTCCGAAAATGTGATACTGTGTTGACAGCGATGCATAAGCGGAACCAAACAAACCCCTTATTCTTCTTGGTTCTTTCGGTAAAGTCACGTAGAAGGGAAATAATAAATTAATAAAAATAAAACATAGTAAAATAATATAGTTAAATAATATACTTATTTTATTAAGTTTTATTTTATTATTTCCCTTCTACGTGATATTACCGAAAGAACCAAGAAGATGAATCCCTGCAGTCACGAAAGCTTTAAATCGAAACCCCCTTATTCATAACACTGTTCTGAAGATTTTTTTTTACATGTACGCTCAAACACAATTTAATACGCGACGTTCCGGCCCATGGCCATTCTTCACAACAGACATCTGCTCTGAACAATGTATTGATCTGAAGAATAGTTACTGTCCGTAACATCGCCTATTATGAATTATCTGTCTGTGGGGTCGTGTTATTGACAAATGCGTTGAGTTTTTGTTATTCATGCTGCGTTCCTGCCAAAGGAGTATCGCATTTGTGTAAATAATTGCTGCGTTGTGTGCAATGGTTATGAAAACAAAGCAACATACGAAATATATATTTAGCATGTAACGATTAATTGCGTGCAGAGGGCCTCCCAACGCACTCGAGCCCTTGAGGTTCGTGCAAAATACTTCACCATACTTCACCATGTTGGTGAGTGCGGATTTGGAGGTGGTGGTAACGCAAAACTATTGATTTTGCGACATTCCGCTTTGCTGCCCACGAGCCCTAATACACTTGTTTAGTACATTGTCATCATCCACTCAATCAACACTTCATCACTGTTAGTAGAGTGACTCGTGTGGGAGCAGGCGTGCATTGCCCCCCATCCCTAGTGGTCAAAGCTACGAGTTGAGACTCCCTTGACAACCACCATATTACGGAGCTGTAGTGGCTGCATTTTTTGCAAAGACGAAGCGCCCCGAACAGCGTTAAATGTTCGAGACCGTGAGCGCAATGATGTGATTGGGTAAGAGCCGCGATATATACCGGCTAGGTGCGATCGTGCGAGACAAATCATGAATTGGGGCACCACCTGACCAATTGCCGCACCTCCTGATCACTGTGGATGACTTGGACATGTACTGCGTATGGCGACTGTCCAAAACGTCGCATTGAATAGTGCATTGAATAGTGCGTGTGTATAAATCCATGTGTGTACATTGTACGCAAACGTTATTTACTACAAGCCAAGAATGTCTGCATGTCCCGCGCGTGACGTCAATACACGTCGACCTGCCCCCCTCATTAATAATCATGAACAAGAGACGTCACACCGCATGGAGAACCCCCACTCATGAATAATCATGAGCAGGTGACGTCCAACAAATGGACACCCCCCCCCCCTCCGTTAATAATAATTAGCGGGTAACGTCAATCCACATGGGGAGGCGAGGCGCCTCCTTCCCCCTCCTCGTCTGCCGACAAAGGCAGAACCCTCACGTCACGCGGTCTCCGTAATGCTGTTGAGACATCAAAGTAAAAATGACGTCATGATGAACAAGGGATTATAACCTTTATATGAAATATGTCTGTCACCGCGGCCTTACAAATTGCACACGAATGGATGCAATGAACACCACGTCGCCGTCTGCTTTTCGCTTGCAAGTTTCAGATTTACTGCAATACACACGTCCTTGGACGGGCAAAATGCTAGTACAGTATATATTAGCCGAACAGGTCTGTGAATTGCTGGTACTGTACACAGTACTCTTATCTATAACCGTCTTTCGCCACTAAGTGGTGGTGACGTTACCACATTTGTGCCAGGCTATGTGCACGTTCCGGCCACGTGAGGTGTCGAACGTCCGCTGGCAAGTCACTGGACAGGCTCAGATGACATGGGTTGACTGAAATGACTGGCCGATGCACCACCTGTGCCACCCACTGTGCCAACTTGCTGTGTTTTAACCACCCGGCGCTCCGCTCGTTGTTGTGAGCGTCGCTCCTCTGCCTTCCGTTGTTGCTCGAGGGTGCTTGTGCTTCCAACTGCCCAGTAGCAGCGTCCTTCACGAGCCTCCTCCACAGAGGCAGATTTTGACACCGCTGGTATCAGTCATCGGCAAGTCCACTCAGCTCCATCTCTTCTGCAGCCCGTGCCGCGCCCGTTTAACCCCCTCTAATCGGCCGAACAAAAGCTGTTTAGGTATGCGGTGGCTGGGCACGAGGGCTACATGACCCAGCCAACGCAGCCTTGTTTGTTTATTACATCACACACACACACGCGCGCGCGAACAGCCCGATTTTTACGCAAGCCACGCAATTTTGATTTGAAGGGGGGGGGGCCTTCGGCGTTTCCACGTGCGAGCCCCCCCCACCCACCTTGCCCCACGTCACCACCACCACGTGCGAACCACGTGTCGCATCCGCCGGCGCCAACGACGCAGGCCGATGACGTCGAGCAGCCGCGCCGTCACGGGGGGAGGGGGGGGAAATTCTTCAGCGCGGTGACGTCATCAACGCGAGCCACGTCCCCCCCCGCGCGCCACACCCCCAACCACCTCTCGTCTCTCCCCCGCCCTCCCCTGCCCCTACGCCCCGCCCCTTTCCGACCACGCCCCCTCTACGCCACGCCCCCTCCACAACCCACGCCCCGCCCCCTCCCCACCACGCCCCCTCTACACCCTACGCCCCGCCCCCTTCCCGCTACGCCCCGCCCCTTTCCGGCCACGTCCCCCTACGCCCCGCCCTCTTCCCGCTACGCCCCGCCCCTTCCCGCTACGCCCCGCCCCCTTCCCGCTACGCCCCGCCCCCTTCCCGCTACGCCCCGCCCTCTTCCCGCTACGCCCCCCTACGCCCCGCCCCCGCCACCTATTTGAGTCGCCGTGACAGCGCGCGCAGTTGCAAGTCGGAGTCGGTCTCGACGCTTCATTCATCCGGCAATGGACGCAGGTGTGAAGCCCGCGCGAGTTCCTTTGCGCTGCCGCTCGTCACGTGTTGTTGTTGTTGTTGTAGTAATGATTACCCATAATTGTAAACCCTACGCCTCGACTCTCACTGTATATGCCTTAGGTCCACTCGGCCTCTCAATTGAGTACTTGGCGTGATGTGTGGACTTCGCTACTGGGGAGACAAAGACGGCCGGGCGTGGTGTTGCCCCCCCACCCCTCCGTACCTCGTGTGCCGTGCCGGCCTTCATAGGTGTGCTGCTAATCTCTAACGGCGCTTGCCCCGACAGTCTATTAAGCCGATACGGTGGTGATCTCTGTACACCTCAGGCCTATACTTCGTGTGGATGATGATGATGGGAGGCGTAGCGGAGCCGTGTTCTGTGATTACAACCTCATTACTGTGCTATGTATGCATATTAAACTTCTTTCGCACCGTACGTAGACAACCGTGCTAATGTTCCCATGCTCTGGTTTGCCACAGTCGCAACAACACCCGGCCTTTGTCAGTGAATGAAGATAGGCCCATTTCTCGAAACGTCGCCTCTTATGCGTACTGTATACATATATTTAAAGGGAAATTTGTGTGTACTTTTAAAGGCATCGGTGTTGTTATATTGTCTCTTGCCCCCAGCTCATCGATTACGTGTCCTGCAGTAGTCGTGGTGGTGCTGAGTGTCGTGTGGCCGTGGGTTGGGGGACATTCCATCGGTCACATCGAGTGCTTGAGTTGACTCATGGTTCAATGTTGATTTGAAGCTTTCGTGACTGCAGGAATCGATACTCTTTGGTTATTTCGTTAGAGTCACGTAGCTACGTGACTTTATATTGTCTCTTGCCCCCAGCTACGTGACTTTACCGAAAGAACCAAAGAATATTGACGAATGATTGTTCACTTTGCGGTCTCGGGGCCAGAGGCGCGTTGAGTTTCGTTTTTGGTCATTTTTTGTAATTTTTTGTACCAATATCTTTTGATGATTGGAGGTGACATTCTGCCAGCCATCGTGCCTACATGCCCACCGGGACGCTAAATTGAGTACCGTTTTGTTGGAAGAACAAAAAAACGTATTGTAAAATGTAATGCAAATGATCTCATGTGTAAGTTCAGATAATTGACAACCGGATATGTGTCTTAAATGAGTGATCATATGTCAGATGTATTCATAAGCAAGCCTACTGCAGTGTACGTACACAAACCCCTTTTGTCAATCTACTGCTGGATGAGAGCCACGCCGGTGCGAGTCGTGATGGTTAAATGACCATACTTCACCACGCTGGTCAGTGCGGTTTTATGAAGGCGGATACCATAGACTTAACGTGAAGTATAACAACGGATAACGATGGATTTTGCTGCACTATCATCCCTCTGCTGCCCACCACGTAGACTCATCCTAGAACTCTGCAGAATCGGCCTCGCTTAGCCCCTGGGCTTGGCTGACGAGTTCTGATGAGATCAGGTGCATTTGGTCATCGCCACTGGAGTGCTATATTTATTGTGCAGTACGTTTGTGATCTCGATATATAGAGTTATTGGTGGTAAGCTTTTTTGGACTATTGTTTAACACATGGATAGATTTGCCCCCCCCCCTCTCGCCTCCCCTCGTCCTTGGTTTTGTGAAAGTCCACCAAGAGGTGTGGGCTCACAATTAAGGCAATTACAACTTTGAACATGGGGGGGTTATGATATAAACGTGTTTCCTCCCTTGTGTTTATACTTGTCGTTAACTAGGCTTAGAGGCTACAATTTTTTTGCTGGGAATTATTGCTTGGCAACACTGCTGTGGAGAGAGTAATATAAACCAACCCTGTGATGTAATCGTTTGCAAGGGTTAGTCATTGCTTCATGGCCAGTGGTGGCACTAGTCCATTGGAGCAGAAATTAGATTTATGCCCCCCCCCCCCCCCATTCAAATTATGAAAAAAATAACAATGCGATGACAGAAGAGTTGTACTGGAGACCCAAAATATACATGTAGAGAGGCAAGTACAGGTTAACTTTATACGAGATATTAATTGGCGTTTTGTTTAAATTAGCTTGTTATGTTGATGAGGATATTAATTTCGTATTCTGTTTGGTCTACAACTTTTTCTTGTAGCCAGGGCCCTTTGAGCTACATGGGGCACTAAGCTTTTGTAAAAAATTGATGTAAACAATAATAATATACAGCCCTTTGTCAAACTACTGGTGGATGAAGGTCCTCCCTATGCCGTGTCAGGAGCAGCATTTAAGAATAATTGTGCCCAGTTGAATATGATGTATAATACATATATATCACGTTTGAGGGTTGTTTGACCACGTTTCGCCATGCTAGCCAGTGCAGGTTAGTGAAGGCCGATTTCAAAATAAACATGCCACTCATTCATGGATCTCCATTGTTTATTTCTCACCTGGTTAAATAACGCATTCTTAAATGTATGCATTTTTATAGCAGCACTGCTTACACTACTCGTAGGGTTACACTTTTGCTTCAACAAATCGTGCTTAAACTCTACTCTTGTGGGGTTTGCTGGTTTAATTTCTACTTCAAGGTTCCCACAACACGCATTGAATGAATAGGGGTAATTGCATATGGTAAGCTTGAAATGTCTCTGTTCTGCAATTCCATTCATTCCCAGTGTCTGTTTAGAACACTGCTGGTGGTGGAGTGGCAAAGTAAATATTGCCATACACATTGATTGTGAGCACATACCACACACACATCTCTCTCAAAGTTTCCTTCAGCATGCATTGAAACTTCTCTCTTCTGCAATTCCATTCATTCCTAGTGTCTGTTTAGAACACCGCTGGTGGTGGAGTGGCAAAGTAAATATGACCATACACATTGATTGTGAGCACATACCACACACTTCTCACTCAAAGTTTCCTTCAGCATGCATTGAATGGATGGTGGTAATTGCATATGGTAAACTTGAAACTTCTCTCTTCTGCAATTCCATTCATTCCTAGTGTATGTTTAGAATGCTGGTGGTGGTATGGCAAAGTAAATATTTCCATACACATTGATTGTGAGCACATACCCACACACTTCTCACTCAAAGTTTCGTTCAGCATGCATTGAATGGATGGTGGTAATTGCATATGGTAAGCTTGAAACTTCTCTCTTCTGCAATTCCATTCATTCCTAGTGTATGTTTAGAATGCTGGTGGTGGTATGGCAAAGTAAATATTTCCATACACATTGATTGTGAGCACATACCCACACACTTCTCACTCAAAGTTTCGTTCAGCATGCATTGAATGGATGGTGGTAATTGCATATGGTAAGCTTGAAACTTCTCTCTTTTGCAATTCCATTCATTCCTAGTGTCTGTTTAGAACACCGCTGGTGGTGGTGGTTTGGCAAAGTAAATAGCAGTTTTTAAAGTCACTATATAAACACATGCCATAAACGTTCCCTCCTATTATTGTTTTACTAAGTTTACTGCATTATGCATTGAATGAATATGGGTCGTCTGCAATTTCATGAATTCCTAGTTTCTGTTATGTAAATAATGTGTTATAAACTTTTAATGACTACTGCATTGTGCGCTCTTTTCAGGAGCAATTGTCCATTCATCGTAGAGTTAGTCTCGGTTACCCAATGTTTCCAAAAGACAGCTGACATTTCACAAAGGGCAATGCAAACATTGCAATTCTCATACGTGTGTCTAGTCTCACACTGCTCCGTTTTTTCATTGTAATTTCTCCTATTGATGTATTGAATAATTAATTCATAATTTTGCTTGTTAAAAACCCATTGAGATTAAATAAAAAGCTCTACAAGGATGACCTCTGTCAACGAGCAATAACACCAGTAATTTGTTTCTATCGAAATACACGGAGAGAACCCGACAAGATAACCCATGTTGCTCATCAACAATACGCGCAGATTATTATCAAGTCAAGCTTTGGGTGACTCAAATCTCCCTTGGGCTCTCACCTGAATGTAAATAAATAATGTTATTATTATGATCCAATATCAATGCACTGTATCATTGTGTCAATTAATACATTATAAACTAAACAAAAAACTAAAACTGAACTGATTTTATTTTACCAGGGATGGCCCACTGAGCTATGATCTATTTTTACAAAGTGACCTGACCATAAATAATGATAGCTCAACGAAGTGGCTTATCACTTGTAGCAGGCAAATACTCTAAACGCATTTTTGTTTATGAATGTGAAGGGAAAATCCGTTTCTAAATGTGGAGCAAGATACATTCAGTCACAGGCAGAGGAAAAGTGGAAGAAGATCTTCAACCGGCACTTGTCAACAGCGTGGATGACTGTAGAAGAGTGTTCCAGACACTTGATGTATCTTCTTTGTTCTTTCGGTAAAGTCACGTAGAAGGGAAATAATAAAATAATAAAAATAAAACATACGTGACTTTACCGAAAGAACCATGAAGATGAATCCCTGCAGTCACGAAAGCTTAAAATCGAAATTTACACTTGATGTAGTCGAGGAGAATGAGTGTGCCGCGCAAGATGTGTTTAACAATTATCGGGTGCATGCAGCGTGGAACGAGTTGCTTTGTATTTGGAGTAAATTGGTAAACGCGGAATGGCGTAGTGGGTTCTCAAGAACTGGAGTTTGGGAAACCCTGATGTGAGGTCTTCGCTAAGTTGTGATAAAGTTCAGACGAAACGGTGCATTTAAGAAAAAAAATAAAGCTACATTTCAGAAAACACTGGAAAGCTTTGCTGTCGCATTCCCAAAAATATACAAATATATATTTACTCTGTTTATATATGAGACTCCTGAAACAACATGAGTTTGTGCATCGTGATGGACAGGTGATGATAATGTACCTAAAGTCGCTAAGTGCTCAGAAACCAGATCAAGGGTAATTAAAGTTAAGTTGAAAATTATTCTAAAAGGTTCTGTAAAAATTACTTTCTCACTGTAAACGGGAAATGTATTTGCATTGCACACAGATGTGTATTTAAACGCGTTGTAGAGAAAATAACCATGGAAATAGAGTAACTTTACTTCAAACGGAATTGACATAGTTTGTTTTACTTTAAATGATATCACCCACAATTGTGGTTTGACCTGTGTAAAATGTCGCAAGCTAATGTAATTTTAGAACTATAATAGAACTCTTGTTTTGTCTTCATATATAAATACAAAATATATTTGAATGTATTAACTTTTCAGACTCATTTTATCAAGCAGTGTTTGATTCAATTAAACAAAATCTCTGGACCGGTTTTTACCTTCCTGTGTCTCACCAGCAGTCAGGCTTGTTGAACATTTGCTGGTGGGTTACTTGGTGTGATTGCTAGCACCCAGCAACCCGAGTTCAATTCCCGCTCACAGCCAACACCAGTGACGATTATCTGAACTGTTCCTGGGCCTCCCCTCGGTCGACTCGGCCTCAAATGAGTACCTGGTGCAGTGTGTGAATATCTCTGCTGAGGAGAGAAAGGCCACCCACCCCGTCATGCGCCGTGCCTGACTTCATAGGTTTTCACTAACAGCACTTGCCCCAACAGGCTGTATTTTGAGCGCATTAACATATTCATATGAGTTTAAAGAGGAACCAAGCACTGTAAATAAAGCAATCAAAGCTCAGGTATTTTTCACAAAAGAGCCAAGGCTTTATTTGCATACAGAACATACAAACTTTTGCGAATGGCATAACATTAAATGTTTGCCACTTTGCAGAGCAGCACAATAAGTTGGTGCACGGGAGAGAAACATGGGTGGAACCAAGCACCAAAACTAATGCAAACACAAACGCAGCGTGGGTGCAATTACAGCTCTGGTGTGTCTCACAAAAACGCCAAGACGTTGTTTGTTTATATCACATGGCAACTCGTTTGAATGTCACACGTTGGCTTGTTTTTTTTTATGCAGGCAAAGGTAAGCGAATGCAGCCAGCATGGCACGCTCCGCAAGGCAGCAATCGGCCGAAGCTGCACTTGTACAACAGCCTGACGAGGAACAAGGTGTGAACAGATATTGTATATTTGTTTTCTTTTTTTGGCATTTCACCTTTTTCAGGATCAGTTCTGAGATTGAGATGGAATCTGACAATTTGAGATTGAATCTTGACAGTGATATCATCCGAAAGATAATGAACTATCTTGGCCGATTTAACATCCAGCTCGGTACATGTCTCCCAACTGTTGCGAAAGCAAAACTTGGCCCGGGGAATGGATTTCGAAAGACAACATTTGTCTTTATAATAATTATAACTCTTGTCAATCTACTGCTCTACAATGCAGCACTTTGCTGTTGCCGGTCATTGGATTTGTTTGACCATACTTCACCACGCTGGTCGCTGCAAGTTGGTAAAGGATGGGTCCGAGACCGATTCTGATATCACTGGAGACTGATGCGAGATGTGGCCATTAATAAAATATTAGTCACTGGGTTAATAGCGCATTGTGCTCTCCACTGCATCAAAACTTTACCTGGGTAGAGCTACATATATGCAGTTCTATTAAAAGGTAATGTGGGGGATCTTTGTCTTTTTATTGTGGGCGACAGGAGGAGTTTGTTCCACAGAATGGGAACAACGTGCTCTGGTACAGCTGTGGCCCAACTGTGTACGACGCCTCGCACATGGGCCACGCACGGTGAGTTTGCTGTCTCCCAATGTATCACGCAATGGCTCATTGACGCAAAACTGCCTTTACCTATCTCCCCTGCCTCATCTCACTCTAACAAATCCCAAAATCCCTCCACTGGCTCCCAATCAAATCCCAGATGAAGTTCAACATTACGCTCAACATCTTCAATATCCTCTCTGTACTCGCTCCCACCCATCTCTTCCCTCTCATCTCACTCTAGTCCCCCGCATGCATTATTTACCCCAGCAACCAATGCCTGTTGTGGAAGCTCCCGGTCAATGGTTGTTTGGGGGGAGGTTGCTCTTTCTCCTGCTGCCCCCATTGTTTGAAACTCTTTTGTCCATGCTGTCCACTCTCTTTCCCTGTACAAGTTTAGGCTCAAATATTTTCACTGTTTTATCTTCCTGTGACTGTCCTTTAAAATCTATAAAGATGCCTCCTTTCCCCTATAAGCCTTTGTTCCTCCATTGTTTTGTACAGCAACTTGAGATAAAGTTTCATTTTAGAAGCTAGAAGTCAACATTTTATTGTTAAAGCAGCCGTTGCATTCTATACAACTTAGAATTTCCCTAATAACATTTTTTTTGGAAAGGATAATGAATCTATTACTTTAAAATAAATACTTAATTCTCATCACACTTGTTATGATTGCAGAAGATATGGGCACAAGTTGAAAGCAGCCATCATTAATGAGATGTTTAAGGCCTATTCATAAGGGTAGTGCATGATCCACCTTGCCATGCACTGAAAGTCACATGAAATAATGACACATTACATCTATGTCACCATATGTGCAAAGACAAACCTTGCAGTGTTGGAGTACGGGGACTTTAGTTTGATCAACTGTCCTCTAACCTAAGAAGAATATTAATGATGTTTCTAATAAACACTTTGGTAAGATTTTTACGCCATTTTAAAAACAATCAAGTTCTTGGCCAAATTCCCAGAAGCAATATATATTTTGTTACTGTTTGCCCATCGCCTAAAAATAAAGAACATGAGTCAGTTCATCCATAAATATGCACTACTTCCTCTTTTGTAGTGATGTGTGGAATGTGTTGACTACATGCACGGTCTTACAATGTTTTCTTGCATGCTACTTGCCAGAACATGGTTCCTCTTGAACCCATGGAATGCGATGAGGGAAAAATGTAACAATAATAATCTCTTTTATAAAGCGCCTTCCATATTGAAGTGTCTCGAAGCGCTGGACATAAAAATAAAACTACACTCACAAATATAGATCAATTCTAAGCCAAAAAGATAGCTGATGAAAACAATATCAATGACTATCGAAATTACAATAAAATGAAGAACTATGATGAAAGTGAAGAATAATAATTGCAGAGTAATTCATGCACATAACAGAATATATATATATTTTATCTTAAGTTACAGGGAAAGCCTGTAGAAATAGGCAAGTTTTAAGATGTGATTTAAAATGTGACGCAGACTCTGAATCGCTAATGGGACCGAGTGTTGTTGTACTCTGTTTGATTTAAACTAACTCAAGCAACCCACTTTTATTTATACCTCCTCAGATCGTACATTTCCTTCGACATCTTGCGGAGGATAATATCGGATTACTTTAAGTACGATGTCTTTTACTGCATGAACATCACCGACATCGATGACAAGGTATGCAATGGCAATTACGAACTCTGAGCATGCACCCGCAATTTAGGGCCCGACAACAATAATTACGATAGGATCTGCAGCTTCAGGTGGCTTCGTGGCACGGATGTCAGAGCACTGAGCTGGCATCGCTGAATTCCTGGGTTGGATTCCAGGCCGCTGCCTGTGATTTAAAACTGGGTTCTCAAATGTATGTCGTTTATGTCGTTTATTGTGAAAATTCCGTCAGTTCTTATGATCACTTTCATTGCTTTCATGGCTTTATTTTGGTGATTTCGAAAAGTTTTTTGGTTTGGCCAAGTTTGTTTATTGTACTACGGAGTAAGACTGATGGCCTTAATCTAAGTTGTCTTGTGGTTGTTGTTTGACTTGCATCCCACTGGGATTTTTGCACATAGAGTTGGTGTACGGTGTTTTTTCTGCAATATTTTGCTGTCTTTTCTTGGATTTTCTGTTTGCACTTAGTCACATATTCACTTTAAGATGTTTTCTTGTTTTTGTTTTTTGTTTGTTGCGGTTGCACCCGATTTCAAGAGCCGACTGGCTCACAGGGCTATACCTAATAAATTAACTTGAACTTGAAACTAAACTAAAACTAAGCAATTTTTATTTAAGCTCCGTGGGCCTCGCCTGATTATCTTTTTCAGAAGCGACTCGGCCACAAATTAAAGCTCAACAAAGTGGCTTATCATGTGGAAAGTTATAGCAGCCAAATATTCTAAACGCATGTTTCTAAATGTAGAGGGGGACCCAGAATAAAATCCACACGACCATGGGGAGAACTTGCAAACTCCAAATATGCAGGCGTCCGGGTCGGAATCGAACCCATGACCGCCCGTATATCAGGCGAGGTCGTTCACATCTCGCCACCGTGGCAACCTAGTTCATGATCTCAGCGTGGTCACCAATGACGGGAAAATTTTTAAAATACACTCAATTTGGTTCGCACTTAATTTGGCTAAATTCCAGCTCTGACATTTTAAATATCGGTATGACTGTCAAGCGACGAACATCGCTCTCATATGCACAATGGTTCGGGAAGTCCTGCCCTGTACTGTGTGGACCAGAGTTACATTGAAGGGACCTCGGCGATAGCTCTATCTGTTTCGTTCTCTTAACACAAAGGGGTGCACTGTGCTATGAGAGATTCGGATAGATACTTCGTCTTGTGGCATGAGGCCTACAGCACAACCGGGAAACACACTGGGGAAAAATGACAAAGAAAAAAAGCCCCCAGCATTTCCTCTTTCTAACCCGCGTTCACCAATGTGTTTTGCAGATCATCAAGCGAGCACGACAGAACTACCTGCTGGAGAAGTACAGCGCCGACATGCAGGGTCCCCAGAGCCTCCTCAACGATGTCGCCACTGCCTTAGTAGTACGTCTACCTGCTTGCGATATCTCAGTCGGCTACAAGTAAAATTAATGGCAAACAAAGTAAAATTAATTGCAAACAAAGTAAAATGAATGAGCGTGGCCTCTCCCCTTGTTGTCAAGGTTGAACCGGAGAGGGAAGTTCCTGCTAGAGTCAACTGTCAAATATTAGGGCTAATGGGGGGGGGGGGTGGGGTGGCTTGTTTATAACAGCGTATACAAGGATAATAAGACATGTAAATTTGTCTAATAAATGCATTGAAAAATATGGTGAAAGGAAGAATGTGTCGTTTGTTTTTATGGCTTCTTTGTAATCAGGTCACTTTGCAACGTGTGCTTGTGGTCTCGTAAGCACCGAGTCACTGACCCTTTAATGAGTGAGAAGCAACTAATAATTAAACCAGCTCACCCGGTTAACCCACAACACTGTTAAACTGCCCATGGGGAATCGATAATTAATTGTGTAAGGTCTATAAGCTCGCAGCAAAACTATAAGTTGTGGTTTGATTGATTTCACGGCTTGTCTAAATGCTTGACATCCCAGTGCTGGGTAGAACTTTAAACTTTAACTTCTTTCGTACCATACGTATGTCTGTATGTATGTTGAACTTCTTCCAACACCGTACGTAGCCATCCGTGCTAATCGGAGTTGCGGGGGGAAGGACAACAAACGAAACCCAAAAAAGGAATTCTAAATAAATGGGTTTTTAATCTAGATTTAAAAGTGCATCACTCCAATGGCTTTCAAAAATCAGAAGCAAGAGCGTTCCCGACGGCTGTGGAAGCGCATCTGAAAGCGCGCGTTATCTAGCCGACCGTGCTAATGCTTTGACTGCCCTTGGGGCATTCTCCACCTTGCAGGGCTTCCGCACGAAGCTGTCTGAGACGACGGATCCCGACAAAAAGCAAATGCTGGACAGGATCTTGGCTGAAGTGGAGGAAGGGCTGGGGCGCCTGGAGGCTGCTCTCGCCAAAAGCGCCCCAGAGGAGGAACTCCAATCCCTCACACAGGTCACGGTCGCGAGATGTTTACAACCTTGCCTGGTATACAGGCGTGGGTTCGATTCCTACCCTGAAAGCTGTATATTTTGAGTTTGCATGTCTCTTTCTCTCTCTCCACGTGGTTGTGTGGATTTTTCTACAGGTCCCTCTGGGTTTTCTGTCCACATTTAAAAACATGCGTTTAGAGTATTTGGCTGCTATACATTTCCAGATCATAAGCTACTTGGTTTAGATATCATTTGTGGCCAGGTCGCTTCTTGAAAAAGAGCTATATAGCTCAGTGGGCCTTACCTATTAAAATAAAATTGTTTATCGTTCAGGTCTGACAGCTTAGACGCTCGCAACCTTACCATGTTGGGTTTCAGCACAATATTAACAACATCACGTGTTTCTGGTATCAATAACAACGTGGGATGTCTGTCCAGATGGGGTTTGAAGGGTGATTCTGTGTGGGTGGCCAGGTGGCTCTGGAGTCAGATGCTGAAGATAAAATCTAGGACAATGACAGTGGGATCGGACTGCAGCTCATGCTCCAAACAAGCTTCGTACTGAGCGTATTGCACATTAATTGCCTGTGATGTTAAGATTTAATGCGCATTAATACACGTAAATATTTCTAACAGCAGCAGTTATTAATGCAGGATTTTTAAATGTAATCATAAAATGGCTTCATGTCTCAAGCTGTCAAATGTTTATACAATGTATTTAACAATCTATTCAGTTATATTTATAGAATTAATATGCGTGTGTTTGCATTTACTACATTTCCCTACCTTTTGTTGACAAACTTATTTTCTTTAATACATCAAGGAAGCATGCAGCATTCAATGGAATTATTATTCACTTAATCTATAGGTGCACATGCCCGTACCAGCAATGGCTGGCTATTGAACGAAAGCAAATATTGCATATTGCATCGAGTGGGCAACCAATAATTATCATGGTGCTTGCGTGTGTTAACATGGGAAGGTTAAGTTTGAAGGGGCTTCCAGGCTGTATATTCAACTCCTTCCCTTTACCGGTTTCCCACCATTTGTACCCGAATCCAAACACTCCATGGATTATTGCAGTTCCGGTTTTTAATTGTGACATACGAATTGTGACTCTCAATAAAAGGTTAAAATCTTTTCATTTCGGCATTTTACTGGTCGTAATATACAGTGATTATGCTAGCTCTCATTACTAAATTACCTATGGAGTTTATCATATTGCGACACGCGTAGAATTTTCACCATTTTAGAAAGCAGTAAAAATTAATTTTGAAAGGGGGGATGTGGGGGGGCGGCAGTTACTCATTCCGAGCCTAAGGGTTGCAGCCCCTAAAGCCCCTGTATTAATCTGCTCCTGGACATGGATGATGAGCCATGGTGCAGCCAATGGAGCTGTGTTGTGTTGTTGCACTGTGGCTTCGCACAGGCGCTGCTCACCGAAGCCAGGGACCCCCTTTCCGAGTGGCTGGACGCACAACACGGAAGCGAGGTTACCGAGAACTCCATCTTCTCGGAACTTCCACGCTACTGGGAGGCGGAATTCCACCGTGACATGGAGGCCCTGAATGTGAGACACGGGAACTCGACCGCATTCATTTGTGAAAAAAAGCTTTAGAGCTCATCGGATTCCTCCCCAGTATAAATAAATATTCTGATTCTGTTGCAGGGTCATCCGCAAAGTGCCAAGCGCCGCTCCCCGCTTGACGGATGACACTCTTGTCGTTTCTTTTGTTGTGCTCTCAGGTTCTGCCGCCGGACGTTTTGACCCGAGTGAGTGAATACGTCCCGGAAATCATCGCCTTCGTGCAGAAAGTCGTGGACAACGGTTTTGGGTACGTTGAAACGTTTTAAGCGCCAATGCTGCAGTGGAGAGGCTCTGTTTGGCATGGCACGTGTTTACGATCGGGGACTCGGGCCAGCACATGGGACGGTAGTGTAGTGTCGGTCTAAAGTCCGGCCGGGTCGCGCTGTGGTTAGTGGTAAACCTCACGGGAAGATTGCGATTCAATATCCTGATTGGAATATCATGAAATGTGGAATATTTCCACCACTGACGTAGGACCGCCATTAGAAATGAGTGCCGTCCCATTGCTCATTTGAGCATGGGGGTACACATTGACTTTAAATGTAAAAATCCTTCAACCCAATTTATATGCGAGGGATGTTTCAAAATTGGCCAGAACTTATCTTACAGAGAAGCAGAACTGAAACTACAGACGTGATTGCTACAAAATGGCCCTAAATATTATGCTAGTCTCAGGGCCTGTGATCGCATCACCCTGGAATGTCGGATCTGAGAAGCTAAGCAGAATTGAGCCTGGATAGTACTTTAATGGGTGACGGCCATGCATAAATCATGTATTGTATACTTATACGGGGCTATGTTGTCAATAGATGGCAGTGTAGAGAGATCAATTGCTGCATTATCCAGCATTTATACTAAATACCTTCAATTTGCACTGGCCAGCTTGGTGAATTTTGGTCAAATAGGCCTCACGACCTAAATGGTGTAGGGAGGCCCTCATCCAGCAGTATATTGACCCAAAGGGCTGTACATATACATGTCCATACATTGGCCCCACGGTTTGCCTCCAGATGCTAATAAACTGTCGGCATCTTAAGGCCGGATGATCAAGTGCGACTAGTAATTGCTGCTTTTGCCTTGGGCTATGCTGAATGCCGACTTCGTGTTTACAGCTACGAGTCGGGTGGGTCGGTGTACTTCGACACGGCGAGGTTCGACAGCAGCGAGCGCCACTCGTACGCCAAGCTTGTGCCCGAGGCTGTGGGTGATCACAAGGCTCTGCACGAAGGAGAGGGTACGACATCCCTTTTTACTGTTCGACCGTCTGGAATAATAAATAAGTAAATGCTCTCGAATACCGTGCGCATGGCTTGCAACCAAATCGTCCGGAGCGCGTCCGATCTCGTCGACAGTCGGGAGTGCTTAGATTTTTGCAGTCTGCTTTTCTTGCTCCTGAAAACAAGCGTTGATTTAATACGTGCAAGAAACCGTTTTTTCCTATTTGTTTATTTTATTCTAATTATATCATAATGTAAAAATGTAGCTCACGAGGTGAATGAAATTGAAGCAACGAGACAAGAAACCACTGAATGACCCTACAAATGAGATGTTAAAAAAAGACAAACAGTAATGGATAATTTTTTATTGAATCAAGAATCCCAACTTCATAAAAAATTTGGCAGGGGGGGGGGGGGGGAGTGAAATGTTACATACCTAGCACGCAACAATCGATTTATAATTAAACCTGATTATTAAAGCACACGTTACTCGCCATTCGTCTATCTGGGATAGGCGGCGTGGAGCCAAAGCAGCTCCCCGATGCGTTTTCAGGCTGTACAGCGTATTGTTCGGCATGATGTCCGACGTTTCGCTTCACCTGCTTGGAGCTTTTTGCAACAAGTCCTCTCACGGTATGGTCTCTTTGCAGGCGACCTGAGCATCAGCGCTGAGCGGCTGAGCGACAAGCGATCCCAAAATGACTTTGCGCTGTGGAAAGCCTCAAAGCCTGGGGAACCTTCTTGGGACTCGCCGTGGGGAAAGGTACGCATACATGCGATGGTGTGCAACGTTGTGTTATGTGGTCTTTCTTTAATGTTCATCTTCTTGGTTCTTTCGGTAAAGTCATGTAGAAGGGAAGTAATAAAATAATAAAAATAAAACATAATAAAATAATTCTCACGACGCTTCGGCCACAATGCAAGCAGCCGTCCTCAGGTGAAGACCAGGTCTGTCGGGGAGACAGCATCTAATGTTATTCAAATGTCATGACCCAAGTTGATGGGATTGTGAAATTGTCAAACGTGGTATCGGTGATGTCAAATTTAGTCAAAACGAGAGTGGTCAGTGATGTCAGAACTTTCCTGGTCCTCTCCTGAGGTGAACTCAACTTTAAATGAGCACCTGGTGCAGTGTTTTAACATCACCGCTGGGGAGACAAAGGTGGTCAGGCATGGTATTGGCCACACCAATACCACTTGCTAGGTCGGTCTTAAATGTTCATGAACAACACTTAAACCAATAGACTGATATGAGTATACGAGGATCTATATGCGTGTGTTAGCAGTTGTGTAGTGGTTCATTCACTACTCTGAATTCAATGACCCAAAGAAAACATTGATGGCAAATGTATTTATATTGAACATCTGTGAAAAAGAGCTTCATAGCTTATTGGATTCCTCCAGTCTAAAGATTCTGATTTTAGCCGAACTTGGGTCTCCCCTACATTTACTCGGCCTTAACGGAGTATTGTGTCTGCTTCAATTCATGCACCTAGGCAGTGGGAAAACAGGCAATGGTGATGGTTACATCACCCCCTTGTGTGCTGTGTGGCTACATGGGGAGTCTTTGTGTGTGTCTGTGAATGCAGGGTCGTCCTGGGTGGCACATCGAGTGCTCTGCAATGGCTGGCTCCATCCTGGGAGAGTCCATGGACATTCACGGCGGGGGCTTTGATCTGCGCTTCCCCCACCATGACAACGAATTGGCGCAGTCCGAGGTGCTGTGCTAGGGTGATCCATTTTTAGATCCCCTTCTGATATCCAATAACCCATATCTCATGCAGTGCATAATTAGTTTTATGAGACATTGTGTGTTGGATTGGCTGAGCTGGATCAATTGGATGGCCCTCGTATTCACCTAACATAAACCCGCAGGGTTTTCACATCAAAGACGGTGTGTGTGTGTGTGTACGTGACAAAACAGAAATATATCAATGTGCTGATCTTGCACATCATTGAATGTTGTCCGCAAATCACACTGGCATGGTTGAACAAAGGGTATCTGGGAAGTGTTAAAAGATTTTATAATTTAATTGATATACTTGGGAGACATGTAATTTTCTCGAATGTCTTCGTGTTCTATTAGTGGGGTGTCTACATGCCTGGAAATGACATTGAAAACTGTGTTGTGGCTACATAATTGTGCAATGTTCTTATTAGATTGGAGACCATTGATTGCAGAAATTAAGGAAGAAATATAATTGTTCTAAAAATCAACCATCTTCTTTGTTAATAACACTAAATAGGAATAAACGATATGGCAAGATAGAAGAATGTAAAAAATGTGGAAATTTGGGGCTAAAATAAATATGGGCAAAAAAAAGTCGTGTACAACTTTGGAGACACAACATAAAATAATCGTTGGAGGATTATAATTGGGATACACAGTATTATATCTACATACCCCACTGTGTTTTTAAAGAACCTCTTGAATCGCGACCCATAATTTCGACAGCTATATCACAAAGAGGGCGAATCGGATACGTGCCTCAATACTACAAAGTAGCAGTTCATATTCTGAGCCTAAGGTGGCAGTGTTTGTTTTTCGTTTCTTCCCTCTCGCTCACCTTTAAACCTACTCGTTAAATGAGAAGTCATAATTCACACCTTCATTCAAATAATTGTCGTGGTTCATGGACGCAATTCGATTCAAGAATTACATATTCTCTGTCTCCCTTTTCTGTCTTTATTTCTCATTTTTTACATCTGGCTCATACATTTTTCTGAGCTCCATTAGCAAACAAAGTCGCACAATAGCTTATTATTTCCGTATTATTGGTATAGGTCAAAAACAAGGTTAGAGCGGTGAACCGTTGCTGTGCGTGCTACGCTACGAACCCATCGACCCGAGTTCCATTGCCAGCCAAGAATGACATCGGTGCCAAGTGACATCTGACAATCGGGCCTTAATCCCCCCCACCCCACCCCCCCTTCGCCAACTAGCATGGCCAGCGTGGTAAAGTATGGTCATATCGCCCTGAACAGCTTGGGGAGGCCTGCATCCAGCAGTGGATTGGCAAATGCCTCAAATTATAAAAGTAATAAAAACCACATGTATTCTTAGATATGCAATCGAATGTGTATCATGCGCTTTAATAAACCATAGTAAGCAAGGGATGTAAGCATCATAAGACACCGACTGCCGACCGTGCTTCTTACCGATGTGAATCCACTCGATCTCCAGGCCTACTTTGACAACGACCACTGGGTGCGCTACTTCCTGCACACGGGACATCTCACCATCTCCGGCTGCAAAATGTCCAAGTCTCTCAAGAACTTCATCACCATCAAGGAGGCTCTGATGAGCAACACGGGTAAGCACATTGAATTCATTTCATGAAACTTATTCTCGGTTCTTTCGGTAAAGTCACATAGAACCAAGAATATGAATCCCTGCAGTCACGAAAGCTTTAAATCGAAATTCATGAAACTTAATAGTGTTTCTGTACGACTTCTAGGCGGGTTGACTTTGAAGTTCAAGTCTTTAGGAAATGGACAAAAAAATTGCCTCATCTGCCTCTAAATGTTTGTTTAAATTAATTGTTTTTGCTGTTAGCCTCTGATAATTACAGTTATAAAAACAATTTGAAGACACGAAGTGTTATTTAAATTAATAAAGGCATGAAGTAAGGGTGTCCGTTTGCTTCCGATGTCTGTTGTTGATTTGTGTGCTATAGCTCGGCAGCTCAGGCTGGCCTTCCTCATGCACTCCTGGAAAGACACGCTGGATTATTCCTCAAACACCATGGAGTCGGCCACCCAGTATGAACGCTTTCTCAATGTAAGCCACAGAATGGGTGGGGGAGTGGCTGAGTGACTCTGAGGTCACTAAACTAAACTAAAAACTAAACTATTTTTACTTTACCAGGTAAGGGCCTACTGAGCTATATAGCTCTCTTTCAGAAGTGACCTGGCTACCAATGATAACTCAACGAAGTGGCCAAATAATATAAATGGAAGTTTTGCTAAGGTTGATCAAACAACCCCCCCCCACTACCTACATGGTGTGGGGAGTGGATTGATAACGTGTAAATATAAAACCGGCTTCTACCCTAAATTGTTGCAATAATATAAGAGATTGAGCATATAGTCTGCTTACAGGGCAAATGCGTGTTTACTTGGATGAATATCGCAGCAGTGGGTGCCCAATGCCTTGTTGTTGTGCGCAGGAGTTCTTCCTGAATGTGAAGGACATTTTGCGAGCACCGACGGACATCACGGGGCAGTACGAAAAGTGGGAAGAGTCTGAGATGGATCTCAACAAACTGTAAGTGTCGCCAGGGTGGGGGTTAACTCGGCGAATTAAAACTGACACTTCCTGGGCTGTCTTCCCATCCTGTCAAGAGATGTTGAGTAGAAAATGATAGCTTTTCTTGGAAAGAAAAGTTATAATCCCGAAATGTAGTTTGAACATTTGAATAGAAATAAGGCGCGGTATTTTTTTTATACTTCTGAATTTGACACAGTAACGTTTATGTTTTGATACTTGTAATGACAAAACTAATAGGTAGAGCCCTAATTGAGTGCTTTAGATGAATAACAAAATGTGAAAACAATATTATTAATTTATTGACTATATATTTATACTGTTTATATACAACTAGTGTATACAGATATCAGATTTATGAGCCTATTTGTATTTTGTATATATGTGGTGCATTACATATTTCCATTTTCACACTTATTTGAAACTCCTTTTTAAAGCTTTTCCTGCTCTCTATAGCTACGAATCTCTTTGCACACCATGCGTCATGCACAACGGTAACCTTTGTCGAAGCTTCTTGGTAAAAATCGGCGACTTGTCACGACTGCACCTGTTTCCCCCTCCCCCCCCCCCCGACGCACAAAGGTTTTACGAAAAGAAGGCGAGCGTCCACACGGCGCTCTGCGACAACATCGACACGCGCGTGGCGCTGGAGGAGATGAGGGCTCTCATCGGCCACTGCAACACGTACATCGCCAGCGTGAAGGGCCGCAAGGCATCGCCCAACAAGGGCCTGCTCAAGAACGTCTCCCTGTACTTGACCCAGATGTTCAAGGTGCAAAGTCCCCACCGCCACCACCAACCACCACCATTTCCACACAGTCGGAGCCAACTGTGGCTCGCTCTTGAACGTGTACACTTGCCGAATCGAATAATGGTCACAAGTGCTGCCCGTGCGATAATTCACTCATCCAAGTTGTTCGATGAAATGTCACAATTCGGAGTTGCGATTCGTTCAATTCGGGGGTTCTTTAACTTTCTGATTTGTACTCTCTAATTTGTATTGTGTATACTTTTTCTGTGTTGTCTACAGTTTTGTCCGCTCGGCCTAAATATAAAGTTGGCATATATTTTGCAGTACATTTGCAGAAATCATATATAATTGGTTCACACTTGATACGGTGCAGGTATAGTGAACATTAAAGCTATTTAATTGCTAAATTGACACATCATTACTTGCCCAATATTAATATGCTTTGGGCCATATTCGCATAATGATGAAACAGCTCATTACCTTTGATTTGCCCGGCGGTTGCTGTTGATAAAAAACATGTGTAATTCTTCATACAAGTCAGACAAGATTTACATTGGCTGCCACCATAAATGGGCCTTCATGTGTTCACTTTATTTTGCTGATAAATGTAAAAAAGATGGAGCTGGATAACTAATATTTAAGTGCTTGTAAATACCGGAGTGAAACGTATAGGAATGGTTAGCAAATCACTGTAAATAAATACATAAACTAAAACTAAACTTTTTTTATTTTACCAGGTAAAGCCACTGAGCTATTCGTATTTTTTTCAGAAGCAACCTAGCCACAAGCTCAACGAAGTGGCTTATCATGTGGACATTTATAGCAGCCAAATCTAAATAATTCGCTGCATCAGGTGTAGGAGGATTTATGACACTTTTGTATACGACCCAACCCAAAAACCCAATCATGGAAAGATGTTTGAAATTTGGCATTCGTTTCCCAGCTGCAGCCTTCTTGTTTCCATCCAGATTTTTGGTGCAATCGAAGGGGACGATGCAATTGGATTCCCAATCACCGCCTGCCAGGGAACAAACGTAAGTAAAGTTAGAATTTGGCAATATTTACAAAAGGCCTGTAATGGCTATCAGTACCTAAAGTAATCTAATAAATGCACTTTCTGTGGTTTTTTTGTGTGCTCATGATTGTTTTAATCTTATAATGTGTTAAATGTCTGTTCTTGTTTTCTGGGAGGAACAGTTCAATAATTGCCAGCTCACATGTCCATGCATATCCCATCTCTGGACTAATGTTAGAAAATTTGTGAAATCCTTTTGTTAATAATTGGACGATTATAGAATGGCTGAAGGTTTATCGACATTGCAAAACTGTCTTATATGCACACGTGTAATTAGGTGCGAAATCTGTGACTGGTTACACCAGCCCACAGGGGATTATTGTGTCCGTCCATCCATCGTGCAGGGAGGGGCTGGATGTGGAGGGGCGGGTGGGGAGGGGCTGGGTGAAGAGGGTGGGGAGGGGCTGGTCACCCCGTGGTGCCCTTATAAATCTCAACGTTTAACCTACTCACGCCGGCTTGTGCCCGCCCACAGTCGGGCATATTTGCGGAATACACCACGCCGCCGTTGACCCTGGCCATTGACCGAGCAACCCGACGTTCCTACCAGCTCCCTCCGCAGGAATGTGTTCATTTTTACATGACATCATGTTCCTTGTCTCAGGTTTTCCTCATTGTTGTCTTGTTATTGACAATGCCATGCCTTGTGCTCACCCACCAGCTGGAGACTGCAGTAATGCCATTCCTGTCCACCCTGGCCGAATTCCGTGAAAGCGTCCGGCAAATTGCCCGGGAAAAGAAGGGTCCGTTTGAACACGGCTACATTTCCGGTTGCTTGACAATAAGATATTTTTTTCTGTGGAAGTAAAATGTTGGCAGGTTGCCTCTGGGCTCACTGCCTTGACAGCACTGTGTTATAAAGCTGGACCCGTGTCGTGTGTTGTGCAGTGATGGAGTTGCTGACTTTGAGCGACACCCTACGCGACGACATTCTGCCTGAGCTCGGTGTGCGACTGGAAGACCATGAGGGTAGCTGCTCCTGTCGTTATCTTTTCGTTAATCATAATTACTAAATACACTTCTTATTATCCATAACACAAAGCCCCATCGGTAGATTGAAGGAAGGTAAAGCAAGGATAGTAAAACATCTCCATATCAAAATTTCTCCCCGTTTAAATATACAGTGGTATAAATGTCACATGCCTCCTGGTAGGGGTCACATCTCCTTGGGGCCATCGCTGTTGGCAGAACAACCAATGTTGCTCGTGAGTGAGACTAAACTTTCTGAATATGGTTATCTGAAGTTGGACGGTTAGTTTGGTTCGGCAGGTAGCATGTGGTGGTGGGGTAAAGTATGGGTATTCCCACCTCTTCCATGATGGCTGGCCAGCATGGAAGAGTAGACCAAATACCCTCTAGAAGGGCTCTCTAGTGCTCCCTCTAGTGGGGAGACCCTTCCACCATCAGTGGTGTCGGCAAACAATTATTGGGCTGGCACCTTTTTCCTTGAAAATAAAATTGGAAAATAAAATATGAAGGGTTCACCCTTTATCTAGTCTTGCAGTAAAGCAGCTCGACACAGCCAAATATGTAGACCTAAGGCAGTGTTCAATACATTGGAGTCAATATCTTGATGGTGTTGGAATTACTTTCAGCCTGTGTTTGTTTATTTGTCTTCTTTGCCAGGTCTTCCCCCTGTTGTGAAACTCGTGGACAAGGAATCTCTGCTAAAGGAGAGGGAAGAGAAGAAAAAGGTCTGTTTAACTCCACAGATGGCGATGAGGAGTTGTAAATTTGGAACAGGGCTTGTGCCCCCTGGACAGGTAGTCGAGGCATCGATAAAACTGTAGTGATTTTTGCCATGCCGTCGCAAGCGGAAGATTTATAATCTCCGTTGCAGCTTGTAGCAGAGCAGAGTCGTTCATCAAAGAGGAAGCGCTTGTATCAGATGGTCACATTTTATTTGAACAGCTGCTCAGTATACAAGCAGTGCTTTATCGGCTTTGCACATTTATTAACTGTGCCTATACCACTCGTGTGCCTTCAGATAGAAGAAGAAAAGCAACTTAAGAAGGAGGAAGCAGCCAAGAAAAAGCAAGAACAGGAGGTGAAGCTCCCGGACGTCTTAGAGCTGTCCCGCTGAATCATGTGACACAGCAAGAAAAGTAGCTGCCTTTTTATGCTAAGTGACATTGTAGATGTGGTATTTGTATCTGGCTCTGCGTCTTTACGCTGCATGGTTTGACTCACTGGCAGGTCAAGGGACAGACCCTGGTAACATAGGTTAAATTACATACATGCAAAGTCACTTCATACATCGGCACCCACCTAACAAAAGCTAACAATAATTTTTTGGAGAAAAAATGGGTGTTTAGCATCATTATCATCATTAGCCAGTGTCCATCCACTACTGGATAAAGGCCTGCCCATGCTCTTATCATCTGTCGCAGTCTTGCGATTCCACAATTCACCTTCTGCAGGTGAGCCGATTGCATCACTTTATCTCCGGTGTGATGAGATTAAATGTATCTCAACATATCCTGAAAAACAATGGAGTTGAATCGTGGTATATTTAGCACAATTTTGTAATGTTCCACGATATGCCATGTTGTATGTCTGTGTCATAGAGGGAATTAGACACAATTAAAACACTGAGACCATCCCATCCTGAGCACATGCCAACGATGGATGTCATTTCTGGCAGAGAGATTATTCATCTGAGTCGTCACAGTTTGCCATAAGTTAATGCGTGGCTTCATAATAAAAATGACATTTGCTTTTACTTGAGAAATTGGGTCATTAGTCTAGGGTCGATATAGCACGTCCCTTACATGCTGCTCCAGCAAAGTTTTAGCACTGCTGCATCTGTTTACCCTTTATCATGTCTTGCTCTGTTTATCAAAAAGACATTTTGGTCATTACATGTAGACAGCTGGTACAGAGGTTATCATTCAACATAAAACACTGCCCACTGTATTTCCTGAAAAAAATATTTACCACCTGTGACTTCACAGCAAACGGATGACTGCAGACGACTGCTATGACCAGACCATATCCTTAAAAATCAAATGTTTTAAGATGTTGCTCAAACGTGTGCTGTTGTTGTTTTTCACCTTGAGGCTGCAAAATTGGAAAAAATGAAGATCCGACCTCAAGAAATGTTTTTGAGCGAGACGGACAAATACTCCAAGTTTGATGGAAACGTGAGTAGACACACTTTTGAGGTATTGTCAACGTGCTTTCGTAGCACTTCTGTCTGTTCATTGGTTGGCAACAAAAATAAGATCGTCATTGCCTTTCGTGTTTGGCACAAACGTTACAGCAACAACCCATAATTTACATCCAGTGTTAATTTATTCAGCATTGTTACATTTTGATAATAGCCTCTGTCGTTAATGACAACATGTACAAATGCAGTTATGACAATTTTGTATAATCATTCGTTTAGTCTAGTTGACGAAAGCTGTCAAACACTTGGGTTATTAGGTGTTGGTATGTGATGTGTGCAATTTCCCCCCACCCCAATATTATCAGGACGGCCAATTGGTGGTCTCTATAATCTTAAACCACCAAGGACCAATTTTATCTACCACTACACGGCAGTTTCTAATAATCTTACGAAATTGTCTTGGTCTTCGTCTTGAGTCACTCGCTAATTTTCTCGTCGTAGTTATCATGCTTTAGTCTTTGTCATGGTAGTTGGAGTCATCGTCACACTTTGATTTTTCAGAATAAACGTTTTTGGGTTAGATCGCATTATTTATAAATGTGTCGTAACCCTCCACCACCCGACACAGCCAATCAGTAAAAAAGTGTCACGTTGACAAAAGAAAAATAGTTCACTACTTCTGGCGAATTGCCTGATGATGCTGGATGCAATTAACAGCGAAACGTCGTACTCAGAAATGGTAAATATTGTGGTTTCACGCTTCAACACACCGGTGGGCTAAAGTAGTGAACTATTTGTCTTTTGTCAACGTGACACTTTTTTACTGATTGGCCGTGTCCGGTGGTGGAGGGTTACGACACATTTATAAATAACGCGATCTGACCCAAAAACGTTGATAATGAATAATATTGGTGGCGAAAGCTTACGTATTTAAATTGATGATTTTTGTCCGCTCAAAATCATCGTCAACTGAAATAAATAACCCTCTTCGTTGACGCACATTTTCATCGCTTCTACTTCTTTTGTTGACCACAATGAACTCTTTCACTGCACCCTGGCAGGGGTGCACGATTGTTCCACCAAGCCCCTCCCCACCCCGAAACCTCGCCGTTGCAATTGTGTGCCCTGGTGTTCCTCAAGATGTATATCTGTGACTGTGTTCCCGGTCCAGGGGTTCCCCACGCACGACTCGGAGGGAAAGGAGATCAGCAAGGGTCTCGCCAAGAAGCTGAGGAAGCTGTACGACGCGCAGGAGAAACTGCACAGCCAGTTTGAGCAAATGAATATCTCCCAGTGAACAGAATTGGCCAGCACGGCATTTAATGGCCATGGAACAATTCCTCCCACCCCCCCCCCCCCCCCGTCATTCGTCATTTAATACATTGTCATTATTTGTGGCCATTCTATTCAAGATCAATGTTTTTATTAACATTGTGTGAATGTAACAACACTTGAAACAATTGAAGTGCATGTCAGAATTGAGAATAATCGATTCTCGCACGCACGATTCGATGCATGCATTGTGTGAGTGTGAGATCAGTTTTAATCTGAATTGTTGCATGTTACATGCCAGGCCTTTATCTCATGGGGTGGTACATTCCCATTGAGTTTTTGAGATGTTAACTCCTATCTGAAGAAAGTTGTCATTTGCTTTTGTTAATACAGCCACTGCTGTACAGTATCACGTGGATAATGGAAGGGTAAGTGGCATAGCATCCTGACCCCCCCATGCCGTTGTTGACTTTTTGATCAGAATCTGTGGATGTGCCAATTTTTAGGTGGAGTGCAGATAACGTTACAAGGCCATCATTAGCTCTTGTACGTAAATGCCCACTGACACTTATACAATTACTCCCTTTGATTTGGCTGGTTTTTTTACCTTTAAAAGTTGTACTTGCATGAATTATACTTGGCTCGTACGTTTATCATATAATACGTGTTTTCTTTTCATTTATTTTCAATGGTGTGTGTGTGGTGGAAGGGTGTTTGTTTATGTTGGTGGTGTTTACATGCATTTTCAGGTTGCACGTTGTGGCACACTTTCTGTTAAATTCAGCATGGTGGTGTTATCCGAACGAATATAAATCACTAAAACATTTGTTACACTTGTATTGTTGTTTAGCAAGTTTAATGTGTGAAGTTTTATAACATTACAAATCCTTCCACGTGATTCATTTGTGCTAAGCAAGAATTTTTTTTTTATTCACCACTCTGCATGCTATCGCCATCATTTTGGATTTAAATCTAGAAAAGCCGCACGCAAAGCTGTAAATTGTGAAATTTGACTGGTGATTTTGTAACATGCCATCACACCACGAATTGGCAAACTAGATTTAACAGTGAAAAGACTACATTACTCACACACATCTCCTAATTATAAAACTAAACATAATTATTACAGTATCATTCATGCTAATTGTATTATCACATTAAGGGCTGTATCCTATTTGTAGCACTTATTAAGTAAATTAAAACCCTCAGAAAATAAAAATGAAAAACAAATCAAGAGGTCGTCTAAACACAAATGGTTTACACAACAAAAAAGTTATTGCAACAACGGTATCGAAAATTGTCTTTGCTCCTTGCACCAGCAAGATAAATGGGTCCACTAAGTAATTAAGTGGTTATGAAGACCCCAAGTTGAATAATGTATTTTTTTAATATTATATTTGAGTAGCATAATTTACAGCCCCTTTATCAATCCACTGCTTACCTTAACATTTTTATTTTACCAGGTAAGGCCCACTAAGCTATACAACTCTTTCAGAAGCGACCTGGCCACAAATGATAGCTCAACGAAGTGGCTTATTTGGAAATTTATAGCAACCTAACACTCTAAACGCACGTTACTGAATGTGGAGGGAAAACCGGAGGACCTGGATAAAAATCCACGTGACCGTGTGGAGAACATGCAAACTCCAAATATACAGGCATCAGGGTTTGGAGTCAAACCCACAGCCTCCTGTATTCCAGGCGAGGTAGTTAACATCTCCCCACCATGGCTGAATGGAGTCTTCTCCATGCCATGTACTCGTGGTAGTTGTTTTACCACGCATTATTACGCAGGTCAGTGTGGGTTGGTGAAGTTCCAAGGGTTCAGATATGATCTGCCACAGATCTTAATCATTGCTGGAAATCTAACTTGGGTCTCACATGCATCATGCAGTGCACGAACCACTGCCACCATTCTGCCTGAATTAATTAGCATGAATATAGCCAGTTGAAAATTGCCCATACTGTATTTGTTCGTCTTTCATAAAACTGTACTTTAAATCCAAAGTGAAGGTGAATGGGTTCTTGAGACATTTTCTTATAACGAATGTCAATGTCACTCATTAAAATCCTGTGTTTTAATGGCAATTGTCGTTTTTAAAAAGTACATTCATCATTGTCATGTAACGTAGACAATGCTATTTATGTGGTATTTTGATGAAATTATGCTGCTGGTGCATATAATAAAATACTTTATCACGAACTCTATTGTGTTTTTTGCACACGTTATGTAGAACTTAGGAATATGACAATTTCCGAGCATGTGCACAATGTTATAAGATATCCAAAGCTAAGTGGAGTTTACACCATTGGAACCTCCTTTGCCAGTAACAAAATATGATAATTGGTTGTTTACCCTTTTATCTGGCAACAAAACTGACACCTTTTTTTACAAGGAGTCATGTTTGCATTGACCACAATACCTGCGGTCGGAACGCAAAAAAAACACATCTGACAATGTATGCACTGTCCTTGAAATTGATTGGTCCACACTCGAGACAGCTTTTCTTAGAGCCTAGTCTCACATTGTGTTGAACCAGATGACGCCAAAAGGCGCCTTTTGGCGTCATCTGGTCCAACACCGTTGTATTGTGGTCAATGCAAACATGACTCCTTGTAAGAAAAGTTGTCAGTTTTGTTGCCAGATAGGGTAAAAAAATTATCCTAAAATAAGTTCTTGGAAAGTGCTTGAATGGGTGGCCACCATGCACAAGCAGGTTGTCATAGGGCCTGAAGAGCCATGTATTTGGGAGTAGAGGGCAATGCATCAAAATCCATTACTCAGTACGGCTATGCTCATCGTCAACCCGCACTGATCAGCACGGTCAGGGGTCTGCAACCTGCGGCTCCGGAGCGGAATTTGGTTCTTTATGGACTACTTTGTGACGTTATTTATTAAGGACCGTCTCGTATTCACAGTCATTGCGGCTCCGTTATTTTGGTTGCCGAGCCCTGGGGCGTGGTGGTCAAATAACCCCCCACAAAGCATACGGTGTGGGGGAGACCCTCGTGAAGCAGTGTATTGACAACATTGGTTGTATAAGCACGAGTACAACGCATAATTATGAGCAGACGGATGCTATGGCGGTGTCTTTACAGCAGACTTTTGGTGGGCATTGGGCTGACATGAGGAATGTGGTTACTGTGAATTTATAAAATACTCTCCTTTAATAAGGCAGCCATGGTCACAATTAACGGATTTCCTTGTACCCGTACTTGTTTTGATTATAATCAGAATATTTATACTCAAGGAATCGGATGATCTAGAATTATCTTTCACATGTCCAGTAGGGGCAGGTCACAACATGACAAACAATAAAAAAACGATAGTGTAAAGTATATAAGGTTAACAAATCGCTTAAAAAACATAACTTTTTTTTATCTTATCAGGTTAAGCACACAAGTATTAACTTATTTTTCAGAAGCGACCTGGCCACAAATAATAGCTCCACAAAGTGGTTTATCAAGTGAAAATGTAGTCATAATCTCCAAATGATTTGCACGATGCTTTGCTTGCTGGCTTTAATACGTGCATCCAGTATTGGAACAGTGTAAATCACAAACTATTTAAATGGTGAACGCCTGCAAATTGTAAATTTTTGGATCGGATGAAAAATCTAATGAAAATATTATTAACCGAAAATCCCACTGAGTCTTTCTCAAAGCGAAATGTTTGGATGAATGAAAAGTCACGTAAAAAAAAATCAAATGCTGTGCAGCTGGGTTCTGCTTTTAATCAAAAATATGTCTACATGCAATTCTGTTTGAAGACTTGCTATGGTAATTTTGGGTCAGAGATCAGGTTTTCATGCTGAAAAATGCGTGATCAAACGTAAACTATATAAATACTGCCCGAGTAACGATTATGAACATTATCAAAGCGTTATATCCTAATTCTGAACTAAAAATGTAGATTGTCCATGGTAAGTTGGGTCAAATAAAGCAAGACAGTATGTTGTCTCAAAAGTTCAAACGATACTAAAAACATACAGTACAAGCAAATGTTTGGCATCAAGGCGACGAACAATAAAAAATATGCTGCAAAGTGTTCTCACTTTTTAAATACACAATTCGGGATTTTTATATTTTCATCAGGAATTTAGTGGCATAGTGATGCAGTGAGTGTTTAATTGCATTGTGCTATAAACCAGGTTCCCTAAGTTAACACATTGCTGCGGAGGTAGCTGGTAGGAACATTGGGTTGCTCGGTCAATGGCCAGGGTCAACGGCGGCGTGGTGTATTCCGCAAATATGGCCGACTGTGAGGGCGGGCACAAGCCGGCGTGAGTAGGTTAAACGTTGAGTTTTATAAGGGCACCACGGGGTGACCAGCCCCTCCCCATTCAGCCCCACTCCTCCCACTCCCCACCCAGCCCCACCCTCCCCACCCAGCCCCTCCCCACCCAGCCCCTCCCCACCCTCCCCTCTCCACTCAGCCTCACCCCTCCCATTTTTGGATGCACGACGGACAAAATAATCTCCTGTGGGCTGGTGTAACCAGGAGGTTCCGACCAGTAATACGTGGCAATAACCAACATCACTGAAATGATAATGGGCATACCCCTCCCCTTCACTCACCCACACTGACCATTGTGATCAAATACGGGGAAACAACCCCCGTGACTGACACGTTGTGTGGAAGGCCTTAATCCAGCAGTGGATTGAAACTGCTGGGCATTTAAAAAAATAGTTTTTCCCAAAGTTTTTGATTTTTATAGGATCTCCAAAATATAATGGCATTTTACCCAAGACATATATGGTATAAAAATACTATATCACAAATGGTACTGGAATCTTAACATAGAATACCCAAACTATACATTCCATTAATAGATACCCCAACAATTCCGATTGATTTCTTCATTTTATTATCAACAGATTATTGCATATTGTAAAAGTGATGGTTCCTTATTTGCAGAGAAGCATGTTAAAATATTTAATAAGTGTTTTGAGATTGGTGGGAGATATGTAGATGCTTTAAAATAACACGTTTGTTTATTAATAATCTTTCCCTAGTATGGACCATGGATCAAACTGTATGCTGGGATTTTTACACGCGCACCTCAAAATACTATTGGGTACTAATTGACAAGTATTCAGAATAAAAATTCAAATTGACCAAATATGCCTAAAATACTATGGGAACTTGCAGAACATAATCATAAAATAATTCATCTGGGGATTGCTCAAGCCCGATCTTGGTTCAATTACGATTGGAATTGTCATGCACCATTACTTTCGATGAGAATGTAGTAATTTCAGTAAACAAAGCTGCTTTCGTTATTATAATTGACCCGAGGTCTGGCTACAGCTGTACCTGACAACTTTTTTGTGACGTCATTGGTGTGGTTGCAGCAGACTGTTTGTAAACAGACTCACAATGAATATGGGAGTTGCAGGAAAAATGTAATTGATCATCGATTGAAATACTGTCTGTATTGCTTTGGGAGTTCTTTGTTGTTGTAAGCCCTTGCTTTGTTGATATTTTGCATATAAAGTTTTTTCAGAAGTGCATGTGTTTGAGCCGGCTGTGAGCTCTGGTTGTGACCTGGCAGTGGAGTAACGGAATTGGGCTTCACCTGGTCTCTGTATGAATGTTTAACTTCTTTTGCACCGTACGTAGCCATTCGCGCTAATCGTAGGCGCCTCAACCACGCTGTGACTGAGAGACAAGCAACTGCGTGCAGAGCGTTGGCCAATAGGAGTAGAAATCACAAACAATTCTCTTGTCACACAATTGTTTGGTGATTATTATTCTGAGAGTTGAGTTTGGACGTTGGGCATGCTAGGAGCGACTTGAGCTGTATCTCGTCCACTACAATGCTTTTTTTAAAGCGATATTATACTGTCTTATACTATTGGTCAGGTGGCTAGGTTCAGATAGAGGTTTCAGGTATAACGTGATTAAAATGGGTTCTCAAGTGTATAAAGTTGATGATCTCGGTGATGACTGCACAAAGAAAATGTCACGTTGTTTGGTTTTGCACTAGATTTGGTTAAATTCCAGTTCTCAGAATAAAAAAAAAACATACTGGTTGTATCATGTGACCATCTTTTGACAGAGTGTGTGGGGAAATCTACACCTCTGTAAATGGATAAGCCAATTGGGTCGAGGCTCAAAAGAAAGCCATCCCTTGATGTGGACCAATCAGTTTCAAGGACAATGCATATATTATCATAGTATGTTTTTTTGTTTGCATTTTGACTGCAAGTATTGTGGTTAATGCAGACATGAATCCTTGTAAAAAGGTTTCAGTTTTGTTGCCAGAAAAAAAGGGAAAAAACCCTATTATTATATTTTGGTACTGGCAAAGGAGGTCTAATGATGGATACACTTTGTTTCACTTGAATAAATTTTTTCTGAAGTCCTTGTGAAACAACTATCACGCAGCCATTCTAACAAATGCGAGATTTCCAAATAGATTGTTAGTCTGAGGTGACTCCCCTGATAGCACTGCTGGAATTAGGTGAAAGGCCAAACGTTGTTAACATAACCAGAATCAGAATATTTAAAGTTTACGTTACGATCATCAATGCAAAATCCACAAAATGACGTCTTTATCAGAAAACGTCATCCTTACTCTATTCTACAGGAGGATTTCTGCACAAATCTGGCTGTTGCCTGATGAAGCTGGTTGTAATTAATTCTAGATTTGAAGCTTTCGTGACTGCAAGGATTCATACTCTTAGGTTTTTTCGGTAAAGTCACGTAGGTAAAAATAAAAAATAATATAAACAAAATAGTTGTAATTACTGGGGAAACATCGTACTCAGATTGTAAATAGTCACTTCCACGCAACACTAAGGCGGTAGCTATCCGAACGGTTAAAGTTATTTTGATTTCTTTCAATTTCGATATATTCTCTAATTAGTCTTGGCCAGTAGTAGCTAGTTTTGCACAAAACTTCAACATTATAAAAAAATAAATTGAGTGTCCTTGTTGGCACGCGTGTTCTGCTACTGCTGACAGTTGTATTTGGGAGAATTTAATATTTATCTCATGTTCTTTTAGTCTCGTGCTAATCATTCGTCCTGTTTGCCCAACATTAACTGCACGTGTGGTAAATGAAATTCGTTACAAGTTCCGTACATCAATCAGTGTGTTCTGGCTATCGTCTGATGAAGCTTGTTGTAATCACCAACAAAACGTCGTACTCGAATTGTAAATGTTGTGGTTTAACTCTCCAACACACCGGTGTGCTG